TGTAGTCTAGAATGCTGAAGTAGCTTGGAGGTACTGAGGCCGTCTAGTGGCAGTGGACTTCACAACAGATCCCTGCAGCCCCCCAGTTGTTGTGGATGCTGGCGACAGGGTGTCTATGCCCTCGACGCCCTCGGCCGGAGGCCGAGAAAATTGATGGGCCTAAAAAGTATCACCCTGGAGCCGCCGCGAGGCCACTCAGGGGTGGGATCAAGTACAGCCTCCCCAAACCTCTACCCTGCAATTCCTCCTTCCTTCTTTTCCTCCTCCTCGTCCTCCTCGTCCTCCTCGTCCTCCTCCTCCTCCTCCTCCCCCTCCTCCTCCTCCTCCTCCTCCTCCTCCTCCTCCTCCTCCTCCGGGCAAGAAGCGCAGCTGAAGGCCCAGGCTGGCGCAATGCGCGACACAACCCCTCCCCCTGGGAACGACCGCTGTTCGGGCCCAGACCTATCAGCGGCTGTTCCCGGGAGAGGGGGTTCGCACCAGCTCCCAATCAAGCTTCGCTCGGACGGAAAGGTTCCTCTTCCTCCTCCTCCTCCTCCTCCTCCTCCGCCTCCGCCTCCGCCTCCGCCTCCGCCTCCGCCTCCGCCTCCGTTTCCTCCTCCTCCTCCTCCTCGTCCTCCTCCTCCTCCTCCTCCGCCTCCGCCTCCGCCTCCGTTTCCTCCGTTTCCTCCGTTTCCTCCTCCTCCTCCTCCTCCTCCTCCTCCTCCTCCTTCGCGTTCTCCTCCTCCCATTCGTTCCTTTTCCTTCCTTCTTCCTCCCTCGTCCCTCGTCCCCCCCCACCTCGTTCCTATCCAGGCCCCAGCCGCCGCCGCAGCTGCTTTGTCGCTTTCTCGCGAACGCCCACGGGTCGGGCTCAGCGTGCTCATCGCGAAGGCGAAGAGCTGGGCCGCCATGTATTTTGGGCGCGAGGCTGCGGCGCTCCGCCGGCGTCACGTTGGCGTGTTCCGCTTGTGTGGCCGGCGCCGCCGCAACTCCCAGATAGGTGGATGGGGTTCCGCCTCTTCTGCCCCCACCGCGGCATCCGTCGCCGCCCGCGCCGCCTGCAGCCGAGCGTCCAGGTGAACGGCGCGATGCAGGTCAGCAAACGTTTGCTCTTCCTCTCGCGCTGCCTCCTCTGCCACTGGATATGAACAGTTCTATTCTGCCCAAAGAAGGACCTGATATTTTGTCGCCGGCTGTCGTCGGGGCCACCTGGGGGAGCTGAGGGACCACCAGCCGGAACTGACGCGTCGCCCGCTCTGTCGCCTGCCGTCGCTGCTGAAGGACCATCACTGGGACTCCGTCTGAAACGTTGGAGGCGGTCGACCTCGGTTTTTGCCAAGGCCTCTGATGCCCGCGGAAAGCATAGCGCTGTTGAAAGAGGCGTCCCCCTGCTTGCCTCACTGAGATCCCCCTCTCGACTCAGCCTGCGAAGCCCCGCTTTCCCAGAGAGGTTGTCGCCAGGCGCCGCGCTCTGAATACTCCTTCGGCTGACAGTTCAGACAGCAGGCAAGTAAAAGCTGATGATAACTTCGCCCATGTTTTTGCCCTCGGCCTCCGTCTGTGCCTGCCTCCATCGGTTACTCTCAGTCGCGCTCCAAATTCCCTGGTTCCTTGAGGTTTATGAGCGCTGCTGACGTTCGCGCCCTCAAAGCTGGCACAGACTCTTTAAGGCGTAAGTAGTCTAGGGAGCTTCCTATTTTAACCTCCTTCTTCCCTTTCGGGGAGGGGTTTGTCACTGATCCCTATTAACAAACACCTCCTCCCCCAGGCGGCTGGTAGCCAACCAGGAACCATGGGGCACCCCCCCACCATCCCTTGTAACAAAAACCATGCAACACACTCTCTGCCTCCAAATTCGGAGCATGCGCAGCAAACCCGATGCGGCCTCCCCCCATGATCCCTCTCAAAAGACAATACAGAATACACTTGGCGGCGGCGGCGGCTGCGGCGGCTGCGGCGGCGGCTGCGGCGGCTGCGGCGGCGGCGGCTGCGGCGGCTGCGGCGGCGGCGGCGGCGGTCGCGGCGGCGGCGGCAGCGGCTGCGGCGGCGGCGATTTAGCAGCGGGGGCGGCGGCGGCGGCGGCAGCGGCGGCGGCGGCGGAGGCGGCGGCGGCGGCGGATTGGCCCCCAGTAGCTGCCCATCCAAAGACGACTGCTGAATATGCTGAGGCTCAGGCCAGACTCGGGTGCTACGTATGTGTTGAGAGGGCGGGTGGGAGTGAGCGAGACGGCTTGCGGGCGGGGAGGGAGTCTTGACCCCTCCCCCTCCCCCCTCCCCTGGACCTGGACGGGTGGTTCCGCGGTTAGTTGGAGCGCCCAAAACGGCCTCGGCGAGGAAGCCAAAATCACTGGTTCTACTAAGGTTTTGGCCACATTCTGGTTTCCTGGAAGGGGGACCCAATTTAAGGACCCCCCCTTCTTTGATCGATCTCCTCCGAAATGGCCCCAAGAGCGCTCCCAAGGCTCCCAAGGGTGCCCCAGAAGGGCCCCAAGAGGTGGCCAGGAGGCCCCACGAGGGGCACAAGAGGCCCCCAGGATGCCCCAAAGAGGCTCCCAAGAGACCTCCAAAACGCCCCCCAGAGGCGCCCAAGACGCTCCAAGAGGCCTCGGCGAGAATGCCCAAAGCACTGATTTTACTTAGGTGTTGGCCACATGTTGGCCTCCTGGGGGGGGGGCAC